CACACACACACACACACACACACACACACACACACATAAATAGGCTACACACATACATAAAAACAAACAAATCTACACATGTGCCCCATACATTCTCCTTGATCTACCTCAGATTTCATGTCAAACAGAGCTATTCCATGTCAAACTGGGTCAAACTCTATTTTGACACAAGTCAGCTATTTTGAGATCAAGCCAATCCAAAGGATCACCAACATATAACATATTCTGTGGACATAGATCACATACAAAAACTGTACCTGATGCATGATGTTGGTGATCACTTGGGCCAAAGACCGTCTCTCCTCTCTGTCCACTACATGCTGGTATGCCTCAAAGTAACAGTCCAACAGCTGGGACAAACAATACATATGTGTCACGGCGCAGTAGAATCAGGCGCTCGTCAGTTTTTGGGCACATGGAGTTATTGTTTTTATCTTTAAAGTTATTCATTTGCCTTGCTTTCGATGAAAAAAATTTTTCATTTATCTTGAAAAGGAGTAGAGATATTTGCGATTGAAGGAGGTGGGGTTGCCTGGTTTCAGAAGTAAAATTAGCAAGAAAATGGACGCCAAAGTTTGGTGACTTCCATAGCTTAAGGCTCCTAGAAAATAGCAAGTTTACACTTCTGTGCCTTTAATCAACGGTGTTCCACAAAATCAAAACATAAAAGTGTTTTTGAATGAACATACAAGGTGTTGAGATAAAAACAAAAATTCGTAAAAAATGTCGAAACTGGCCGAAAAATGCTGATTTCTCTGATTTCATTATTGTGATGAGCACCTGATTTCACCACAATGCCTCACACATAAATAAGTTAATAAGCTTATATTGGGGAGCCTTAGCGGTTGGGTGATCAGTAAATATAGATTCAAAAAGAATGCTGAGCAGTGTCAAAGTTTGTTTTTAGTAAGAGTTTTACGGCACTTACAACACAATAAGGTCATATAAGTGCCAAAGAAAACAGATGTTACAAGAGAGTGACAAACACAAAAAAGAAGAAGGATAGATAATGATGATAGATGTTTGATAGGAAAGAAGGAGCAAATCACACCAGAGCACCCATCAACCACACGTTGTGTCAAAGCGAAGAGGTCTAGATGGATGGCCAAAGGGGTATGACTTACATATGAAATGTTAATCTGAACCCAAAAACTAAAATTGCACTGGAGGGGCTCACAGAGGTGTGGTAGAAAAACGGTTTGAAAAATTCCCAAAATATGTTTACATATCACGTATATGTATACCATTTTCATAAATAAGTAATACCTTGAAATTTGTGAAATTGCATAATGTGTTTCAAATGGCTATTCTTTACATTAATTACATGTAACCCATCACAGAAAGTAATTATAACATGTAATAAAAGAACAAAAACATTACTAAGCATGAGCACCAGGCCAAGAACTTACCTCCCTTTTGCATTCCAGAAAAGCGGTCTGGTTTGTCCAGATGTCCATAAGGACTCCAAACCTGTCCACGTCTTGGTGGGCGTAGCTAGGAATGTCAAAGTCACCAGCCTGGGGAGAAATGCCATCATTAAACTAAAGTCAAAATTGTCCAAGATAGCCACCCATTGTTGAGGAGAAAATTGGTTGACATAGACAGGTGGATGTCTTAGATTGTGTCATTATAATACCATTTAAAAAATGTAAGGGGGAAGACGGAAATGGTCATTCACACGACTGATTGTCTAGGTGGCCGTTAGAGCAGGTTTGACAATATTAACTGTCCAATATTAGATGCACTTTGTATGATGTTTAGAGCTCAGGGAAAAAAATTAAGTCAGAATGAGAGAAAAACTACTTAGTGAAAGATAAACTGGGAGAGAAACTTAACTTGCCACTGAACACATAAGCCAATAAAAAATCACACCCAGAGAGACTAAAGAGGATACAGCTACACTAAACATTCTTCTGCCTTAAACTCTACATCATGTCTATCATATTTTAGAGTACCATTAAAACAAAATATGGTACTCTAAAATATGATAGACATGATGAAGAGTTTAAGGCAGAAGAATGTTTAGTGTAGCTGTATCCTCTTTAGTCTCTCTGGGTGTGATTTTTTATTGGCTTATGTGTTCAGTGGCAAGTTAAGTTTCTCTCCCAGTTTATCTTTCACTAAGTAGTTTTTCTCTCATTCTGACTTAATTTTTTTCCCTGAGCTCTAAACATCATACAAAGTGCATCTAATATTGGACAGTTAATATTGTCAAACCTGCTCTAACGGCCACCTAGACAATCAGTCGTGTGAATGACCATTTCCGTCTTCCCCCTTACATTTTTTTAATGGTATTATAATGACACATAATTAAGACTTTACAGTCAGCCTCACCGACTGGACATGTTGTCGGGCAGAGCTGGACGTCCGCAGCCTCCGAGCCGATCGCAGATCTCTGTCCTTCTCAATGTAGTGACTGGCTACCAACATCAGGTCAGACTCCAAAGTTCTGAGAGATTAATTAACAAATGGTCAACTTACACCAACCTAATCATAGCTCTGCTTGGAAAGATAAAACTTTCTCTGCCATTGTTATGAATGCCTTTCATATTGTTTTTTTCCCTATATAGTCACAGATCAAAATCTAAGTTAAAATAAGAAAATATAAATATTCTATTCTTGACTGGGGACTACCACCTCTCAAATAACCTAATAGTGTTATAACACCTATATCAATTCAAATTTCAGTTGACTAGTACTTAATTAAGTGTACTTGTTCCCAGCCTATCATTTAGAAATTTGTAAGATTGCAATCTTAACAATGCCTTGTCTCTTTCTTTTGATAGGGAGACAATACCATATTGATGACAGACCATGAATTAGCACAGGAAGAGCATTGGATATTAACGATATTTCATGGATTAGCACAGGAAGAGCATTGGGTATTAACGACATTTCATAGATTAGCACAGAACGAGTCTATCCACGGCTCACCTGAAATCATCCAGAGCCTTGTCGTATATGATGTAGTAACCTCTCTGGTCCAGCACATGAACCCGCCCCTCCTCCAGGTTGTAGAAATCATCGTGGTTCTCTACCTCAGAGAACTGGACGAAATCTGACTCACTCATTCTGTGGTTAGGAAGAAAAAAAATGAGAGAGAGTGAGAGAGAGAGAGAGAGAGAGAGAGAGATAGAGAAATAGAGAAAGAGAGGACGGAAAAAAAGACAGACAGAGGGAGAGAAAGTGAAAAAAAGAGAGAGAGGAGAGACAGAGAGAGAAAGAGAGAGAGAGGAGTGAGAGAAAGAAAGAGAATGAGAGGGAGAGAAAGAGAAAGAGAGAGATGCAGAGGGAGGAAAATGAGTAGCAAAAACAGAGAATTACAAAAAAATTGACTGGTGATCTTTTAAAAAGTTGTTCTCAGTTATAAAGAATAAAACTTACAAAATGTAACTTCCTCACTTTAAGGAACATGTTAATGAAGTAAGTTTATCAACGACATGCACATTTTTTTTAAAACTCAAAAACTCCTTTTTTTTAATATCTCATTTATCAAACATACTTTAAGTTTCACATGTAATATCAATTCCCATTAAAAATCTAATTACTAAATGAATAGCATGGGTAATGAAAAAAGACTGGAAACGGTTAATAAAATGTTGTACTGAGCGGTCAAAAGATTAGAGGAAGAAAACAAAAGGAAAAAGCTCTATTAAAGGGACAAAAAAGACAAAAATCCCTTTCCATGGACATTTTTTCTTACTTAAAATCTGCCGGAGTGTTGTGTATGTAGCCGTGAGAGCCCAGGCTGCCTCCTCCTCCTACACTGCCGTCCATGTCTGTGCCATTTCTGTGGTTCTGGGAGCTAGGAAAAGAAGACATAAGTGGAGAAACGGTCACGAGAACTCAGAGGGACTTGCATTATGATAGAATCCCTCAAAATGTCAATCACCAGTGTGCACCATATCTGCATTAAATGCAAAAATGACATGCATACCAAAAACATCTAACAAAATATCAATCGTTAGTCCAGGCCATCATATTTCAACAATTGTTCACAAACACTATAATAAACAGATTAGACTCAAACTGGTATTCCATTTTCACAGTTCAATACTACCTCCATTTATAAATCCTCTTCTTAATATAATGAAAGACAGTATTTGTATAGTGCAAATTCTCACTCGGCATCAAGCTCTATGCATTTTACAGTCTACATTATTGCCCCAGCAGATCTGAAAGCATTTTCGAAAATCTCAACTTCTTAAGAAGCATACAGTGAGAGCTGGCATTTATATTGGCACTAAAACACTAACATACTGACAAGGTCTTTCGCTGTCAACGGCCGGGTACCCATTCCCACCTGAGTCAAGTGAGGAAAATTCATGTTAAGTGCCTTTCCCAAGGACACAATGTCGAGCCTGCGGCTCAAGCCCCCAAGCCCGCAACCTCATGATTATGAGTCCGATAGCCTAACCACTTGACTACCGATGCCACAACCTTAGTTTATTGATCCACAACCATCCAACTCATCAATATATCTTCTCACATCACTGAACAATCACCAGTCTCCAAGGGTTATAGGTTCATTTTATATCAAATACTATTATCTTGAATAATATATAATATATAACAACAACAACAACAACCATAATGATAATGATAAGGAGGAGGAGGGGGAGGAGGAGGAGAGAGGGGGAGGGGGCGCAGGAGGGGGAGGGGGAGGAGGGTGAGGTGGAGGAAGAGGAGAAGGAGGAGGAGAAGGAGGAGAAGGAGGAGAAGGAGGAGGAGGAGGAGCAGAAGAAGAAGAGCAACAACAACAACAATTATATAATAATACAACAGATGACTCACTTGCTTTGTCTCATGTCCTCCCCGTCCGAAGCCAGACCCATGTCATTAATGGTCAGAGTTCTCTCGATGGAGCGGAAGTAGTTCAAGACAGAAAGGCACTGTGAAGCATACAATATTCAATATTAATTCGAGAAATAGATTGCTATCCTGTTATTTTCTTCAAAATGAAAAGAACAACGAATATTCTTATTGACACATTAGAACTACTTACAAGAAAAAGGCTATCAAACTCTCTGCACCTGAGTTGAGCATACACTGCTACAACTCTTTCGTTAATTAAACGGAAGACTCGGTGTGAGGGGATGCAAATCTAGCAGTCCACTCATGAGACATTAGATTGCCAAATCCTGCGATTGCCAAATCCTGCAAACTTAGGGAATAGGAGTTTAGTGGACAAAGCCATTTTCTTTGTTTTACAATAAACACTTCTTACATATAAATAAAGTACACTTTATTCCTGTTGTAAATAATTTAAATTTGAATTGGAAACAACAGAATACCAAGTGAATTTGACTGTCTGCCTCCTTCTTTCTACATTACTTATAAAGTTTGGTCTTTCCTTTAGAAACAAGTTCCTTCTCAACTTGCCCTCCCTCACCTCCATCCCCTTGAGCACTCTCTCCCCGTCCCCCCTCCAACCACTCGCCTTCCATCCCCCATGAAAAAATATATAGCAAATGAAAATTCAGATATTAAAAAACATCCTTCTGAACACACACAAACATACGACAGAAAACTTACACTTCTCTGCAGATCTCGGATGCGCAGGTGTCTCAGATGTAGGTAAGACAGATATGCGCCTTGGGCTGTCACAGGGTCAGACTTATCCTGCTCTCCGTCATCAAGACCTGGACACAGTCACAACAGAAAAAATGAAGGGAGAAGTTTACAGAAAGGTATAAAGAACACAGAAGAAGTCAACTCTTTCAGTACATGATTTTTAAGGGGTCACATCAGTGCCGCAAGCTGACAAAACGTCTTTTTTTCTTCACAGCAGTTTCGAAAAAATGATTTTTTTTTCAGCGTAACCATTTAAAAATAGAGTGGTTTCAAAATTTCAATTCTAATTTATTCAAAATCTAATAACAGTTTCACTCTGATTTTTTTCACACAAGTAGGGTAACTGTTCAAGCTTTCGATTTAGCAAATAAAACTTTTTGGCACTAAAATGAAAAAAGGCATTTTGTCAGCTTACAGCAGATCTCCTCCTCTACTCATCATCCTCCTCTCCTCATCTTCCTCCTCCCATTCCCATCCTCTCTCCCTGTTGAGAATATGTCCTCCTCCTCCTCCTCCTCATCCATTTTCCCTTCCCTCACCCATCTGATCTCCCTGTTAAGTACAGCTCACAATAAACCTCTGTGTGTTCCACATGTCATCTCACCTAACATCTGAACTGTGCCAACATAATCGTAGCTGTCACGACGTTTACGCGCACTTCCTGTTCGACTGCTGTTCCCTCCAAAGTTGACGTTCTCCACATCCCTCTCATCAATATCAGGTAGTGAAACTGCATCATCTTTGTCAGATCTGTAGATATACACCAGTCAGACAAATAAATTTCATTTTAACACCAACTCGCTCATATAACATTTTGTATTGCCTCTCTTGATTACACCATATTTGCAAAGTTCGAAAACTATTACACTCTCAGGTTAGTCCATTTATTATGTTATTGCTTTCCTCACTACCTCATCTTTCCTCTTTTCTAATCTTTGCATTCCACTTTACTCTTTCTCTGTTCAAATTTTTCCCTTTTCATCCTGACTTTTTTCCTGCATCTTATTTTTCTTCTTCTTTCTTTTCTGTCTATGAACTGCCACTCTTAGTTCATTGAAGTTTTAGCAAGAGTTTCACGACACTTAGAATACAAATGGGTCATATAAGAGCCAAATATTAAAGGTATTACTCGACAGTCACATGCAAAGAAAAGAAGGAGGAGAAACAAGGACAATGGATGTTTGATAGGAAAGAAGGAGCAAACCACACTAAAGCCGCTACCAAACACTTACTTTCACACAATACAACTCAAAAAGAGTTACAACTGCGTAAAAAGAAACTCAGGTCAAACACTGCTTGACTTGCAGCCCCTCACAACTGTTCTTGTCTTTTTGCCGGATAGACTTACTCAGTATACAGGTCTGGGTTTGAATAGATTTTCTTCCATGCCGTGCTCGTGTTGTTTGGTGTGGGGTGAGAGGTCACAGAAGCTGGTGCCACAATGGGTGGGTTTCTCACTTGAGTTGCATGCTCTTTCAGGGTGTCTTGAACTTTCTGAGAATACATGTTTATAAAAGCTATCATGAAACGGGCAAAACAATTTCCCACCGACAAAATCAGGCCTTATTTTCACTGCTTCAACTAGCATGATGATGAAAAAAATGTGAGCCAAGAAGGATAACTACTTAACAAATTTCTTACTGCATACAGGGATACTCAGTTTGAAGTAATACTCTTAATGATAGTAGTGATAATGTATAACAATAGCTTCGTTTTCATTTTTCAGCACATTCAATCTCTTACGTCAACCAGGTGCTAATGTTGAGTACTCATCTATTAAAATTCCATACAAACAGAATTAGAAAATGATTTTAAAAATTAAAGTATTATGAACCTTTTATTGACACACTCGTTTTTAGCTTGAGAATTCCAAAATTTACTTGTGCTGGGAGCATCTCCCCTGTCCCTACCCCTATGTAAATTTACTTCAATGGAAAATGGTTGAGTACATGACTCACCTCAGCGTTGGTCACTTTGACGAAGTGTGCCTGGACACGCAGTAGCTCGTCCACGTGTTTGCGCTGATGCAGCTGTGTCCACATTTTCTCCTGTTGCGGATCTCTCTCGGCGTGGAGGGAGATGAAGCTACACCAGTTGGCCTCCTTCCTCAGAGCATGGTTTGGAGACTCTGGACTAGATGTGTCCTGTGTTGGCTGTGAGGATCAGGTTATTTATAGCATCTTTTATCGTGTGATCAACAAACATTTGTAACATTGACTGACTGTAAATGTTTCCCACGCCCTTCAGTATGTTATAAATCATGTAGGAGATGGGCTACCTCCACCCTGCCTTTCAGGTTCAATCAAGACTAAGTGAGATACAGTGTTCCAAAAGACAGATAGGGTTACTCAATGCAATAAACTTCTCCATTTGGGAATCAAACTCACATCTTCCATAAACAAAGTGAAGAGTCTAAACATTATATTACACCATAGACATGGTTTTGTAACATTTCCCTAAACTTTATGACATTAAAAAAACCTGTTGGGATGTTCTAGTGATATAATTTGTTTAGCCCTCAAAGTAATACTGCATCAAATCCATTAGAAGAAGAATAAATGTCTTGGAGTGAAAGAACAAAGAAATGACGAAGGATATGATTCTATAAACTTTTTATCTTGTTTGACAACTCTGCATTGGTTTCAGTCAACAAAATTTGCTACTATACACTAATATTTCAAACTTTCAGCACCATTACTACCCTAGCTCCTCCTCCTCCTCCTCCTCTCATTTTCCTCCTCATCCTCTGTCTTTTACTATAATTCACGTTTTGAAACAAACCTCAATTCTGTCATAAGTCTTGAATGAATTCAGATGCTCTTGTTTCACAAAGATGTGCTTGAACCTGCGATTGACAGCCCCAAACATCTCCATCTCATCAGCACTGTTATGCACACTGCTCAGATCCTGCGTAATTGCAAACAAAAAGCTTATAAAGTCTTTGGAATATGGATATCAGAAAAGCTTATATATGATCGCAAATTATGGTAAATATTTAGAACACAATCGGCATGACTCACACCATTCAAGGGACAGGACTAACCCAGGATGGATGGGGCACAGAATCCTAACAGAAAGAGACAGATACATTAAAAACAACTCAGATTGGGAACCAATCTCACATCTTGCACATGCAACAGCTAAGAGTCTAAACTTTACATCATGGAAACTGGGAAGCATTAGATATTTAAAGGTTGCTCATGAGTGGTATGTTTCAAGAGCCCCAACAGCACTTCTTCTCTTTTACAAGCAGATCACAATCTTTTGCCTTATTTTCATTACTTCGTCTGCAGAGAAGAAATCTGGTGACTTCTGCCTCAAGTGCAACTCAACATTCAGGCAAAAACATTCGGAGTTAAATCAGTTTTTTAATAAAGACTTCTCTTTGTCTTCACAGTTAAGAGAGGTGCTGGTCATGCACAAGCTTCAGCTAGATCATCAAAATACATCAATTGGAATATTTCCTGCCTCTAACAAAGACAATCCTATAGCAATAGAGATTAAATTCTTCTCAAAAGGTAATAATATCTATTACTAGCCCCTAACCCCCAAAAATATTTTATTTCCACTTGTAAAAACTATCATCCATCAACATTATAGCTGTGAATTTCAGCAAAGATTATAGTTCATAGTAACTGATCCTTCAAAGTGAAAGCGAATCTAGATACAAAACACAATCTCCCTTTCTCCTTTCCTTAAAACTTAGATCTACATTTCGCCACAAAACCCCAAATACTTACAAAGCTGATAGCATAAACATTGACTAGAAAAGCCAACTGGGGCCGGAAGGAGTCAAAGTCCATAGTGTGAATGGGCATGATCAACATATGCTCATCAGATGCCAGACCTCCTCCTAAAAGAAAATGAAAATGTGTGATTAAAGAATAAACACTTCATAGTATAATATAATGTATATATAACGTCTTATACTTTAGCTCAGTACAGACAAGACCTTCAAACAGCTCATCAGCAGATAGAATAATATCAGCTCTGATACAAGATGAGATGAGACAACGCAAACTTTGTTAACTGAGCGCTTCGGGGTACTAAATGAATAACATCCACACCTGACAAGTGTTTTTTTTAAATTTCAAGGCAATGGTAGTTTTATACACACACAGACACACACACACACACAAACACACACACACACACACGCGCGCACACACACACACAAACTCTCACACACACACACGCGCACACACACAAACACAAGCACACATTACCATCATCCTTAGTCAAAAGCAAAGTAAAAATAAGCACAAAAAAATCAAAGTTACCCGCAGCAGCAGCAGCGTAGAGCATCGCCGAGGCAGGCAATGGTGAAGTGGTGAGCAGGGCCGGATTGATGGGGGGAGGGGATGGGATGGGAGAGACCAGGCTGTGGCCGGATTGGGCAGATGTTGGCCTCGAACTGCCTGGGATGCCGTGATGAAACATGTCATCCTGGTAGCGAGAGGCAATCTTAGAGGCGTGAGTTGCCTCTTCCTAAGAATAAAAAGCAATTTGTACAGAAAAGTGGAAAAACATAGAATAACATCAAGAGGCCTGCCCAGGATAGAGAAAGGAGGAAAGTGTTTGCTCACGGTCTATACCCTGATCCAGAGAGAGACAGGCAATGATGATGATGATAATGTAACAGCTCAGGATTATTAAATTTGAACTTGTAACATAAAACAAGTTAAAAAATTATCAGGGACAAAAATATTTAGTTTGCTTGGACAGTTTTGCACATGCATAATTTGCATAATACCTTTGCTTTTGAACTCATAAATCAAAGACAAATCTGCTGTTTTAATCAGGGTAGAGAATGGGGTAAAGGGTGAAGGGGTGGGGTTTTCTAGATCACAATGTGATGCCTCAAATACTCTGTAAAGTCTTTCAACTCCTAATCTCCGGCAAGCCGCTCCCATCGGCTCGCGGTCGTATCCAAGGTGCCGGTGAGCCACTGACAGCAGCTCAGGCACATTTCTGTGTGACGACTTCGACATCAAATTATATTTCGACAATTGTCGAAATCAGGTCTCTTTGATTGGGATATCATTCATATGATGAAGATCTATCAAAATATGTTCACTTGTTTTGAATTAATGACCAATTAATTTATTGATGTTTTCGTCATTTTTTTATTTAGTACCAAAAAAGGGCATTGGCACAGTGGGTTTACCCCCCTCGAAGCTAAAGAGTTAAAGTAAAGAAAGGCAAATACATACTTTTTGCATAAACAGCTAAACTTTTTTCTGTTCAATCAACGGCAACAACAGGCTTATTAAAATAGCTTCAATTGAAAGAAGACATTTTTCAACATAAACCTCCAAGCATTATCAAACAAAAATAACAAAGGACAAATCTGCAGCAAAATCATCATCTGCACTGACCTTGTCTGCATTATCAGCACCAGGTGGGGCGATGTCAGTCTTGTGGCTGATGGGAAGCCACTGAAGAACCTGTGCAATCACAAACAATCAAGGGAACGTGTTAAAAAAGAATCATAACTGGCCGCAAATTTATATTCAAGGATTTTCTCGAAATTTCTTCAAAATTTGTAAGGGGATGGGGGGTTGCTTTAGTAACAACAGCAGTTTCATACAGAAGAATAATTAAAAACTTAATCACAGGAGTCTAAGATATTTAGAATTTTACCCAGACAGCCTACTTAATCCTTTTTTTACTTTCAATAGGCAAAACGTTTCAACATGCCCAAGATACACATAGGACCTCCGAACATTTTAGTTCTCATTCAAGAGCACTAGCCACTCGACCCCATAATTCTCAGATCAGAAATAAGGAAAAACAGAAAATGAAAATCAATTATCCATCAACAAAGCCAAAATGAACAAACCTTCAAGTACTGATTGAACCTCTTCATGGAGTGCAGGTGGCACACAAGCCAACGGAGATAGATAAGCAGATCCTCCATGTTCAGCGCTGACACGCTTGCCTCTGAACGTTCCAGCATGAGGGACTCACGGACAGATGAAAGACGCTGAGCTCTTTGTACACAGTCTTTGTATTCATTCAGCAGGTTCCTAAAATCATGAAAAATTGTAATCCATTTAGTTGGAAAAAATGCATACTTAAAATCTAGTAAAAATGATGCACACCACAGGGAACTTCATGATTACTCACAGGGCTGACTATTCATTTCATGTATTATATCAGTTTCTCATTGCTACCATTCAATCACATACTTCAGTCATTAAGATAGATTTTGTTCCTGTTGATTTCCTAATAGGCACTTATATTATGATCAACCAAAGACAATAAGGTAAAGTCATTTTAATAACGGTGCAATGCCTCCCAGCAAAACTGAAGCTCTAGTCCATCATCTTGCTATTATGCTATTATAAGCCTGAAACCATAACCACTTCAATTAGACACTCTCTTAAACAATGTCAGCCCTTTCATGTGGTGGTAAAGATGTAAAACTTAGTTTCAAGTAGAGAACAGTCATCATAATGAATGGCCACTTACGTGAGTCTCTGACTGTAAAGAGGGTAGAGGTTTTCAATAGTAGAGGAATGCTCACAAAATCGCTTCCATCTCAACATGTGCTGATGCTTCAGATGAATCAGGTGTTGAATTCTCTCTGTGAAGTGCTGTTGTCCCAAGTCAAAATATTACAATCATTAGTTGGAATGTTATAGGCCTACAAAAAAAAAAGTTGTTGAAAATGCAAGTGGGGGGAGTCAAAAGTACAAACTTTAACTCTATTCATAATTGTATTTCAAATACTGTACATGAAATTGTACAAAATTATGTAAAAACTGTTAAAAAACAGCATGTTAAAGAAGTTAAATTTATAACATGGCTACCAGCTATTTAAAGGTTAGTGGTTAGGCTCTCGGACTCACAACCGTAAGGTCGTGGGTTCGAATCTCGTCAGGGGCCCGACGTTGTGTCCTTGGGAAGGCACTTTGCACAAATTTTCCCCACTTCACCCAGGAGGAAATGGGTACCCGGCTATAGACAGTGAACGATCTTGTCAGTTTGATAGTGTTTGAGCACGTGAAATCCGCAGCTTGCACTGTATGCTTCCGCGGAAGCCGAGAATGTTTCTGAGTGTTCTCAGAGGGTCTGCTGGGGTAATAATAGTTTTAAAGCGCATAGAGCATGCTCTTGAGCATGGATATGCGCTATATAAATGCAATTATTATTATTATAAAGGGAGCTTGAAAATGGTTGGTTAAAAACAAGCAAAATACCAATGAATTTTGTTGTATCTTGCAGGCAAAAAAAGATAAACATAGCCCGTCTGCTTACTGAGTTGAATTGTGTTGATGGGAGTGTATAACATTTACAAAAATAAAAAATGATGTAGTAGAAACAGAAGTGAAATTTTGTTTCCACTACATTTGACGTTCATAAAAAAGAAAAGACAAAAAAAAAGCAGCCAACACAAATAAAGATAGAAAAAGGTTTAGAAAGAGAAGAGCATACATAATGGCCAAAACATTTTCAACTAATGATAAATAATCGCTTATATAAGTAAGGGATAATCATAGAAAAACATTCACTTGAAATAGATTTCTTTAAACCAGCTTCTGATAGCATTCTAACCTGATGCAGTAGCAAAGGCAGGCTGCCAGTGGTGTATTCACTCTCTTCAGCGGCTTCCATCTCCTGTTTCATCTCATCTGCTTGTAAGCGGACAGGATGAGCTTCGCTTACCTGAAAAAGTCCAATAAACAACAACAATTTACATAGATATTTTTATTTTTTTTTATTCTCCCTTTTGCTACCAATTAGTCCCAATTTGAGAGATACAGTGGAGTCCACTTATAACGAGTCCGGAAAAAACGAGAAGTCTGTTATAAAGACACTATTCTAAAACCCTGTTTTTTCTCTCTTTACCTTTGTAAATAAAATACTGCTATAGCGCTATCAAACAAACGTGCGAGTCGGTTATAGCGGAATATTGCTGCTGCTGTGCTCAGTGCATAGGCCATGGCAAAACCTCGCCAGTTGAGATACTTGTTGGTGATCTTGAGAAACAAAGAATAGGAGAGCCCATGTGTGTTAACAATGAAGGCCGGAGCGACAGAGTAGGGAGGCATGCGCAGAAAAGCAGAACGCATCGCGTGATAGGCCAGCGTAAGCCTAGTTTAGTTATCAAGGCCTACCATGCCTCTCACTTCTCCGATGCGGGGAGGGAGAGGTCACAGCAGTGTGATGGATGGAGGGAATGTGTGATGTGCGCAAGCAGACAGAAAGCCCCACAGGGTGGGGTGGGGTGGGGTGGGGGAAAACACAGCGGGCGAGTTAGCCCAGAGTCCTTTCTTTCTGATCGCCAATGCCAAGCTGTCAGTCCACATCGCTAGATCTAGAGCTAGAAAAAGAAACCTGATTCAATTTTTGATCAAGTAAGACCTAGAGGTCATGTTGAAACAAAATCATCATTTGAGAGATAACAAAAGGAAATAAACAGAACATCCTTGAATTCATTACTGGATCCCTTATAGCGAGAATCCTGCTATGATGGAAATTTTGCTCCGGTCCCCTCCTTCTCGTTATAACAGGATTCCGCTGCAGTAGAAAAAAAAACATTTTAAAAAACGGGAAAGAATAGTTACCCACTATGCAGCAGATAGTGTTTGATACTTTTATTGAGAAGCTATGTAATATAGTGGAATCCTGTTATAATGAGAGTTAGGGGACTGGTGTGAAATGTCGGTTATAGCAGGATTCTCGTTATAAGGGATCCAGTAATAAATTCAAGGGAAATAATATAGTAGGCCTAATCTATGAGTCTATTCTGTTTATTTCTTTTTGTTATCTCCCCTGATGATGATTTTGCTTCAACATAACCTCCAGGTCATACTTGATCAAAAACCAAATCTGATTTCTTTCTCTACCTCTAGCGATGTTGACAGCTCAGCGTTGGCGATCAGAAAGAAAGGGCTCCAGGCTAACTCGCCCGCTGTGTTGTCCCCTACCCCACCACACCCTGTGGTGGGTTCCGTCTACTTGCACATGCCACACATTCACTCCATCCATCACAGCACTATGACCCATCCCCGCATCGGAGAAGTGAGAGGTATGGTAGGCCTAGGCCTAGATAATCTAGGCTAGGCAGGCTTATCATGCGAAGCGTTCTGCTTGTCTGCGCATGCCACACCCTCCCAACTCATTCGCTCTGGTCTTCATTGTTGACACTCATGGGCTCTCCCATTCTTTGTTTCGCTAGTTCACCAACAAGTTTCTCAACTTGCGAGGTTTTATATCACGTATAATTGGCCTATGCGCTGTGCACAGCAGCAGCAATGTTCCGCTATAACCGACTCGCGTGTTTGTCTGATTGTGCTACAGCAGTGTTTTATTTACAAAGATAAAGAAGAAAAAAAAGCGGGATTTTAGAATAGTGTCTTTATTACAGACTTCTCGTTGTTTCAGGACTCATTATAAGTGAATTCCACTGTATTATTTTATATGTGGAAGACTGTGCAAATATTTTTCTCATAAACATTTTTGTACATAGACCTATATACATAATATGTATTATCTATGCATAATAATATGTTTTACGTACACACATGCCATTAATGTTTAAGGTGTGATATTTTCATTTGCGTGATGCGCATTGAGAATTCTTAGAAAATGGAAATGCTAGCATAAATGCTATTTATCATTATTTATTATTACTAAGAAAAGAATGTGAACAAAGACCTCAATTTTTTTAGACCGCAAACTTCAATTCCACATGTACATTCAGAATGCAACATTAATGATTTTGAGGCTTTTATTCGAGTCTATTTTTCAACCCCTGTAACTTCCCAAAGTGAAGTCTATAAAAACAAGATCCAGGCAAAAGAAAGTATTTGATGTTTTAAGAGCTAGATTTTGTTCCGTAAAAATATGAGATTGTAGGAATTTATTTGCGTTTTACATTTTTTGTGCCTTGGTTTCACGAAGGGTTGGGGGGGGGCGGGGGGGGGGGGTTCATCTGTTTATTGTTATTTTTTTGTTTTGTTTTGTTGGGTTTTGGGGTTTTTTTGTTGGAATTGCTTTACTCGCACATATACATAATACAATAACTTACCTCTAAAGCCCTTTGGATGACAAATTTTCTTTCCTGTTTGAAGTGTTCTTTATTTTCAGGTATTGGCACAGAGCTGAAACAAAGGCAAATCTCTCATTTACACTGCTCTTTTTTAATTAAACAGAAACACAAGCCAAACCTCAATTTCTGCAACTCTTAATCTAGAAGAAATTAAAAGAAAAACAGAATATAAGACAGTTCGTGCCTTCAGTTCACTTGCTGTATTGTTACATATTAAAAGTAATTAAAACTTTGGTAACCTAATTACCTCCACAACCTATGCCTAGACAAGAAATACAGTTCTTACAAATAATTAGCTTGGTAACTGTTTATTCTCTTCTGCCTTACTTATTATCTTAAACCTCATCTAGATCTACTGGAGTTGGAAATTATATATACAGTCGAACCTGTGTAAGACGGAATCGCAAGGGAGCCAGAAAAAAATTCCATCTCAGACATTTTCTGTCATAGACAGGGGAATTTAGGGGGAGATGGAGGGAGGGGTCCGGGGTTTGAGGCTCAGCTGGTGGGATCAAGGATCTCGTGTCCAATTGGCAAGCAGTGGTCAAAACTTCACACCTCTCAATTGCTATCCTGTCTGATAATGACATGCGTCAGTCTTACTTATCCAATTACCACCAGTGCTTGCCTTTCATATAGGACCACTGTTTGACCTATTAAAAACAGAAACGTTTGAACATCTCCTTTGCTTCCACCCTTAGTCCCACCCATCAGTGTAATACGCACAGTCAACAAATGCCACCCCTCACTGCCACCATGTAACAACAATTCGAGGAACTCTTTTCTTGTCTGGCCGTACCAGGGTGGCAGACATTGGTCAATCTAATTTCACACCTCTGACTTCTGGCTACCCAGGAAAGTTTCCGTAGTGGCTCGCTACTCGAGCACTCTCACAGGCAGTCATGAGATTTCACACCCACACCACCCCGACCATCTGCATCGCTCAGGGCTCACATGATGGGGTAACATCTACCCCCTAATTGCACCCCTACTCCCCTTCCCGGCCCACCGGTATGGCAATGGCGTTAAGTTTAGAGCCGGCAGAACCAAACTAATTTTTGTTTCAAATCAGGACTGAACGGGGAAAGCATTTTCCATCTTAGAAAGGTGAAACCCTCGGAAGGGAGCGGATTTTTCTTTCCGTTTCCACATTGGACAGGTTTCCGTTTTACACAGGTAATTAAAGAGGAATATATCAAGCGGGGAGCAGAGAGATTCCGTTAAGACAGGTTTTCGTTTTATACAGGTTTCCATTAAGGCAGGTTCGACTGAATAAGAATCTGGAAGTATGACAATAATAGATTATAGAGGGTTGGTGTGCACCGTTAACACTTTGCCGCCTCATCTAGCCGATCGGCGATGTTTACCACCCAGTTTCTTTTAATTTTCCCCAAAATGCCTTTGCCTTGTGATGGCAAAGTGTTAAGTATTGTTTCCTGTTATGCTCTCCTTAAACAGCATGTAGATCTATATCATCCTCTTCCTGAATAAAACCAAGCATGATCTTACCTTTAACACTTAAACTTATCTACAAGACTGATATTGACAAGCGGATTTACGCAATGACAAGTAAACATTTACCTGGTTGTCTTTGGGGGCAGATCAACCTCTTCCAGCTCGGTCCTCAGTTCTGTCAGCTCATGAGCCAACTCGGCCTCCGCCTCCTTCACCTTCTCGCTCACTCCTACCTTGTAAACCTCACACAACTCCATGGCTGCCATGTCGAGGCAAAAAACTGTCTTAAGTAGACTATGTACTTTGATTTGGATCTAGATATCTAGATTTCGAGCAAAAATCGCGTTGTTTTTGCTTTCAGGGCCTTTCCTCAACGATAACAGTGGCTTTCATTTTCTCGGCAATGTTTCATTTTCAAAAAATTTCAACCAGCGATTCATTAGTTATTTAGGGCCGTCTTATTTTACTATTCTAATAAAAGCATTGCTTTTTTTTCAAGAACATCCCAGCAGTTTTAGAAAGTTATACACGATCAACACTCAACACGCTCAAATCCGATCATATGAAGAGATGTAATGTATAATTTGCAAACATAGCGTTCCGTAAATTTTCTTTCAACTTTCAAGCATTATCCTCCCTTGTCGCTGAGCAACTCCAAGCCAAAACCTTTTTTAATTTCCAGAATTTAAAGAGTTTCATTACTTCTTAATTTTATTTCGGCGTACTTCTGTGTTTCTGGTAGTGGAATTTTCAATTCGCTTAATTCATTATTCATAGTTCACAATACTTTTAAGTTACAGTTTGTGTCAGACGGAAATGTTACTTCGTTTGCTAAATTGAATTTTTTTCTTTCCTTTAAAAGGAGCAGAAAGGATATGGGAGGCTGGCATAAAAAATAAGCTCTTTAGAATGAGCATGTTATAATATCAAACTGTTCCTCAGATAAAAATTTGCAGACATTCTACTCGTCTCTGACAGACATCCTGCAATTTTAAGGGATAGTGCACCAGCGTCCAGATAATGATCTGAAAGTATGGAAACTGATCACAGCTGCTGGACGCTGCTATGGGTGTGCGCGGGGGGTGGTG